CTTAATAGATATTGATTAAGATATTCAAGCACAAAAAACACAAGCGCAGGGAACCTATAAGAGCCTGGTGGGTCAAACCCATATACTACACTAAATTGAAAATACCAAATATATGTGGATTTTGTCTCCATGGACACATCACTTGAAAATATATACCAAAAGGAAAGGGTCTCATTTAAGAGACTAGCTTGGTGCTCTATGCGTTAAATCACTTGATAATTTCATCTCAATAAAACATTGCTTTAATTTCTGTCCAATATAAAAAACCTTAAATAACCACAACCCCACCCAAGCAAAACAAACAGAAACCGCTTAAAAATGTAAAGACATGGTCTGCTTGCTATAAATATTAAAGTCAAAATATACTCTTGGTACCCTCCTGGGTCATATACCAGCAGTCTAAAACTGTCTCAACACCTTGCAGACATCAAAGTGGGTATAGATGAACCGTGGATATACCGTATCTCATGCACTCTGTGATATATACTGTTCAGGGGGCTCTTCACAGGGCAAATATGTTCGAAAGACAAAATTGTGATATGCAATGTAGTTGATCCACCCAGCCACTGTGTGGCTAAATGACATGTTACAGAAACATTAAAACACAAACACAGACAACCTATAAGAGGCAGGAGGGTCAAACCCTTACTCACTCATATACTACACTAAATACTATATACCAAATATATGTAGATTTTGTCTCCAGGGACAACGGGTCTCATCAGTTGAAAACATATACCAAAAGGAAAGGTTCTAATTTAAGAGACTACCTCAGTGCTCCATGGAACAAATCACATTATAATTACATCTGTATAACACATTGCTTGTTTTGCACTATGTGGAATATATGGCTCATTTGGCCCACCTTACGATCCCCTGGGGGGCTGTTGTGAACTGTGATATATTGCAGAAATGAGGAGTGATACATATGGGAAGATATTGTCTAATGAAATATCATCCATAAAGCCAACCAAACAGCATATATCACAGAGGGCATGAGATATATTCACGGTTCATCTATACCCACTTTGATGTCTGCAAGGTGTTCAGACCATTTTATACTGTACCAGGAGGGTATGTGGACTTTCCGCTTATTCAAGAGGACTGTACCAAGAGTATATTTAGACTTTATTTGATATTGATAGCAAGCAGACCACGTGTTTACATTTTTAAGGCGTTTTTGTTTCTTTGTTTTGCTCGGTTGGGGGGAAGGTTGGGGTTATTTAAGGTTTTTATATCAGATAGAAATAAAAGCAATGTTTTATCGAGATGTAATTATCAAGTAATTTGTCCCATGGAGCACCGAGATAGTATCTTAAATTAGTAGCTTTCCTTTTGGTATTTACTTAATGAAGATATTCAAAAATGGCCTATGAATCAAAAATGTTCACATTTTGGACATTTTAGTGGCCCCAAACTATAGCTCCCCTTCAGTGCTAGTAGATAATGAGAAAACAGGGTCATCACTCTTTACAAAACAAAATATACGTTTTTGGTTATCAGAGTTAGGAGGTAAGTTTATTTATGCAATTTGCCTGTCTTTTTTGTCTTTAAGACATTCACCACATCTTTCCTGGCAACCCAGTTGCTATCTTACTTTTTGTTTTGTTTTTTCCCGTTCTCTTTTTTACGTTCACTGGGTTTATTTTCTTTCTTAACCTCTTGCCGTCCGCCCGTAGTAAAAAAACGGACGGACGGCACTGCAGCATCTGCGGGTTGCCGTCTCCAGACGGCAATTTTTTTCTGCTCGCGCGCGCCCCCTAGCGGGCACGCACGGGCAGAAAAGACCCGCTAAATGCACACACCCGTTACCGGGTGTTTCACATATAGGCGATCGGCGGGTCCATAGC